TTCAAATTTCCTATTTTTTTCTGCGTACTTTGACAAAATATAATGTTGACATTCATCTGATAAGGACTTAATCTCTGCCTCAATCCGGTACAATGTCTCCCGTATAAGTTCATCTTGGAACACACGAAAAGATTCACGGGTAAAAATCGCAGCGGCATGGCTTTCAAGGTCGACCAGTTTTGTGATCTGGAAGGGCTTCGTATGGGAACTTAAGTAATCCGCTTTCAACTAGTTCATACGCATTCTACTAATTCCATCTTCAATTGCACGAACAACATCTAAATATGTCTTCTTGTGTTTCAGTGCAATAGCTAGTGAAGCATTCATAGACTCGCACCTTTGTGTTGAGCGAATATTGGCAAAGAAATGACCGGTTAGATATGCTTGTGCCCATAAGTGTCGTGTATTTCCCTTCTCAATCACCCATGGATGCTTTTGGACGTTGAATTCTGAAACAATCGAACGCCATTGAATATCAAATTCCTTGGTTGTCCACCAGGAAGCCATGCATTTTGAGAATGCTGCTGTAAACTTTGGGTCACCAATGTTAGCTTGTGCATTGCGAGAAAGATGCCAAGAACATAATCTGTGCTTAGCATAAGGGATAACAGATTTGATAGCCCTCTGCATTGCCCTATCCCCATCGGTTACAACAGAAATAGGTGATTTATTCATCATGGCTTCTAAAAAATTCTGTAGCACCCACTCGAAAGATTGAGACGTTTCGTCAGCGATTATGGCAGTGGCAAACACAATTGTGTTATGGTGATGATTGACACCAACAATAGGCATAATTGGTCGACCATACAAATTATCTTTGTACGTTGTGTCGAACGCAATTACTTCACCGAAGCATGTGTAATCCGATCTCGATGTAGAATCCGACCAAATAAGATTATACAATGCCCCCGATTCGTCTACCGAGTATGTCATAAAAAACCCGGGATCATCATGTTTCTTATAATCAAAGTAGGCAATAAGCGCATTCACATCCCCATCGACGATTTCCTTTGCTTTACCTCTTTGAAGTGCATTGTAGAGGTCTTTATGTGTAAATCCAACATTATGATAGCCCCCTGCCTGCTGCGTTAAATAGTTCATTACTTGTGACGTGCCAACACCGACCTCTTTCAATGTTGTTGCCTCATCGATATCAGCCTTACTTACAGCTCTATTAGAACGCATAAATGGTGTCATAGCAGATGTGCACAATGCATGATTATGTTTCTGATCAGACTTACTTATAACCCACTGATCGTTTGTATTTGTTGCTGTAACTACGACTCTAGCCTTACATCCTGTTCTTGTGACTGGCGTATGAGCACGTTGACGATCAACAGTATTGACTTTTGATACTCGAAACCCTTCTTTGGAACAACAAAATTCTTGTGTCTTCACATTCCCTTCCACGTCAAGCCGTGTTGTTCCCTTACGTGCACTAAACCCATGTTCCCGTGCGAATCCCTTGTAAAAGTGCCAAGCTTGATCACGTGAACAGAAGAGCTGACCAACCAATCTGTCAGATTCATCAACATTATGTACTTCATGGCATTCCTCGGTTGGCTTAACATTGTCTACATCAGTATTATCCATGGCAAAAATTTTGTTGTGCAAGTTCAGTGCTCCAGGAGTTGATGGATATGTAAACAAAGGTTCATTTTGAACATGTTTCTGTCGTGCTGCTTTCAATAGGATGTGTCATTTGTAGTGGTAGTTAAAGGGTGGGTACAACATTAAATTCGCAGTACATATTTAGGTATGTACAATAACTACAAGTATATTATCATTAAATTTAGGTATGTACAATAACTACATATTTAGGTATGTTTGTTAACTACATATTTAGGTATATACATCTTTTGAGTGAGTTTTAAGATATTAATTTAGTAATTATAGGCGTCTAATGATTTATTTTTTACGTTACGGTATATATTATTATTAAATTAAAAATTCTAAATAATATTTTATAAAATATCAAAACAATCAACTAATTTTTTGTGCAAATGAAATTATTAAATCAATATTGTAGGTGGAAAACATGAAACACTGTTAAAAAAATTGAAACATAAATTACATAACTTTTAAAAAAAGTATCGATCCTTCTTATAAAAAGTATGGACACTTTCAATATAATAGGTAAACATATGATGTAATAGGTAGCCCTTATATAATGTAATAGGTATCGTTTATATAATGTAATAGGTAGTGGTTATATTGTAAAGTGTCTATCCTTTTTATAAAAGTGTCCATACTTTTTTCACTGTGGAAAACATTAATTTAAGGTTATCTTTTGAGTGAGTTTTAAGATATTAATTTAGTAATTATAGGCGTATAATGATTTATTTTTTACGTTACGATATATTTATTATTAAATTAAAAATTCTAAATATTATTTTATAAAATATCAAAACAATCAAATAATTTTTGTGCAAATGAAATTATTAAATCAAATAATTCAAATTGAAAATTAAACAACAAATCAATTAAACATTGTTGTGGGTACATTAATTGAACATTGTTATGGGTACATTATTTGGAAAAATAATGTTCCGGACTTTGTTAGAAATAACACTTTTTCATTGGATTAATTTCGTTGAGATGGGTTATGTATAACAAAACAATCTATCTCGCATGTGAGTACTTTATTCCAACCATGTGACAAGTGTGACAACTCCATCAACTCACAACTCAGCTTTGAACTCAATCAATATTGTCTTTTAGCTTGATGGTTCATAAAGCATGTTACTTGAACAGTATGAATCAATTATGCAATTTTCATGTTCAATTTAACACTGCATTTCAAATTCATTTCATATGTAATTGGAGTTTGAATTTAAATTTCAATTTGAGTTTGAATTTCAATATATATTTCGGCTCCACTATAAATATTAGCCCAAGCCAATATGCATGTTATCATTGATTATTCCTAATTTCCATTGTTTTTTTTCCAACGTATAAACGCGAGGGAAATCCCGACCATTTTATTTTTTGGTCAACTTTAAAGCGTCAGAAACGTTTCGGGCGTATGATCTGGGTGGTATACAAGAAATGTAACAAATAGCAACTAAAATCATAAGTTGAGTACCACCCAAATCATAAGTCTGAAATACTTCCGATGCTCATCAAAATCCAAAGCTCATATGGTGCCAAGCAAAAGGAAATCAAAATCCAAATCTCATATGATGCCAAGCAAAAGGAAATCAAAATCTACAACTTGAGTTTGAACATTGATATGATATGTTCAGTTGTTATCATGTTGGGATTTTCTCGTTTTTGATTGCTTGGATAGTTGTTCTCTTGCTTCTTCAAGTGTTCTTAAGGTTATCCTTTGAGTGAGTTTTAAGATATTAATTTAGTAATTATAGGCGTCTAATGATTTATTTCTTACGTTACGATATATATTATTATTAAATTAAAAATTCTAAATATTATTTTATAAAATATAAAAACAATCAAATAATTTTTTGTGCAAATGAAATTATTAAATTAATATTGTAGGTGGAAAACATGAAACACTGTTAAAAAAATTGAAACATAAATTACATAACTTTTAAAAAAAGTATCGATCCTTTTTATAAAAGTATGGACACTTTTAATATAATAGGTAAACATATGATGTAATAGGTAGCCCTTATATAATGTAATAGGTATCGTTTATATAATAGGTAGTGGTTATATTGTAAAGTGTCTATCCTTTTTATAAAAGTGTCCATACTTTTTCACTGTGGAAAACATTAATTTAAGGTTATCTTTTGAGTGAGTTTTAAGATATTAATTTAGTAATTATAGGCGTCTAATGATTTATTTTTTACGTTACGATATATATTATTAAATTAAAAATTCTAAATATTATTTTATAAAATATCAAAACAATCAAATAATTTTTTGTGCAAATGAAATTATTAAATTAATATTGTAGGTGGAAAACATGAAACACTGTTAAAGTATCGATCCTTTTTATAAAAAGTATGGACACTTTCAATATAATATAATGTAATAGGTAAATTTGCAATGCTATCGGTATAAATATACCGGTTTACTTATAAAATAGGTAAATATAAGCGCTACCTATTACATTATATAAGCGCTACCTAGTATGTTATTGTACTTTATAATATTTCCGATTAAATAATATAACATAACCGGTCTAAATTTTAACCGGTCACTTGTTTAACCGGTCACACCGTATATTAGCCGTTTTTTAGGCGCCGCACCGCAGAACTACCCCAGTGGCAGGCTGGAAGCTGTGTTGTATTTTCTCGGTGGGTCTGATAAAAAGAATTGCATTTTTGCGTTTGCCAACAATTTAACTCCTTTAAAAGCTGGAGCCCAGTCTCAATTAACTTTTCAGCTCCGCGTCAGGTTTCTGTTGGGTCAATGCTTTTAATTAATTGGATCAGTCATTAGCATGGCTCCAGATATTACTAAGAGCTTGGGAGTTGGACTTTGATGTATTTGACGATCCACTAACAATACCAGACCTCATCTAACACATGTGGTAGGTTTGTCTCCAAATAAATAACGGGCTTTCAAGTTTACAGATCACTTTTTTTTAATTATAGACAATTGCAAGATTTAGTATTAAAGTGCTGAGTTTATAGTTTCCATTTATCCAAATTCAATTCTGAATAGTTTTAAATGTTCACACTAGGTATAAAGTTTGGTGAGATTCAAGTTAGTTGCTACTAAAGTGATGGATTGTATGGCTAAATGAAAAGGGTACGGTGCGGCAAAAGAGGGTGGTACTTTGGGGCAGGTGGTGGAGTAAAATAAAGAACCAAAGAGGTGCATAAATGGACAGATAGAAGGAAACAGACAAGACTAAGCCAAGCCAGCAACTTCCAAACCCACCTCCCTCAAATTACTCATATAATCACCCCCACCACTTTAGTAACCTTATCTAAGCCACCCACCTCACGCTTTTATTTTAAACCCCATCCATGCAATGCAACCATAACATGCATGCATACATCATTAGCATTTCACGCCACTATGTCATCTCCTCTCTCTATATATACTCCAACTTCTCTGACTCCTTAGTTTCCTCCTATTTCCACTCATCACAAAACCACTTAACCGTTTTTTTACTCACTATGGGAGAGGTTTGTTACCAAATACTGTTTCCCACATTTCTCCTCTCTTTTTTCTATTTTCATTTTTGCATTTTTTTATTTCTTCTTCTTTTGATTGATGATACTACATGGGTTGTTCTTTGTCTACGTTGCAGAAAAACAATGGAAACAAGAAAAGTGGAGATAAGGAAAAGAAGGAAAATGGTCCCTTAACCGTTGTTTTCAAAGTTGATTGTCTTTGTGAAGGTTGTTCTTCCAAAATCCTTAAATGTGTTCGCGAATTAGAAGGTACATATATATATATATAATATTAATGTTATGAATATTTACACTTTGTTAATGGTTTCAAAAAAAAATTTCTCTCATCCTCTGTTTTTTTGTTAATGGGTTTTTACATTTATTTCATCATCCTCTGTTTTTTTTTTTGCAGGGGTGGAGACAGTGAAAACGGAGAGCAACACAAACAAAGTGACAGTGATAGGAGCTGTGGATCCAACAGCCATTAAAGACAACATTGCCAAGAAGTCTAAGAAGAAGGTTGATTTCGTTGCTCCTCAACCTAAGAAAGATGATAACATAGAAGAGAAAAAGGAGAAAAAATCTGACAAAGACAAAAACCAGGGCTCTGGTAATAAACAAGATAAAAAACCCAAAGAGGTAATTCTTTTCTCGTTCTCAATTCTCTAATTTAATTTTCGACAATCAAAAAACTGTATCTGCATGTTGGTTTTGAAGTGCTTTCAAATCAACATCTCTGTCAAAAATTAATTACTTTCTTGCTGTTTACGTAAAATAAATTAGCAATCTTTTTTATATGTATATATATTTGCTCAGGCCGCGTTAACGACGGCGGATTTGAAGGTGCAATTGAAATGCCAGTGCCAGGGATGCATTCTAAAGATTCGCAAAATTGTCTCCGAAACCAAAGGTGGTGGCTTATCAAATGTTTTGGGTTGTAGATACTAGATAGCATAGAATTTTACCGTTCAGCTACTGTAAGTCTGTAACGTCGTTTAAATCTTGTTTTAGTTTCTGACTTGTGATTTTCGACGATGATACAGGTGTGCATGAGTTAAAAGTAGACACGCAGAAGGAGATGCTCACGGTTAAGGGAACTATGGATGTTAAGGCCCTGGCTGAGGCTCTGAAAGACAAACTTAAGAAGAACGTGGAGATTGTTCCACCCAAGAAAGAGAAAGATAACAACAAGGAGGGTGGAAAGACTGGTGCTGGTAGTGATGGTGGTAACAGCGGCGGTGGAGGTAGCGGTGTCGGCGGGAAGAAGAAGAACAAAGGTGGCAATGCCAGTGTAGATGGTGGAAATGATGATAATGCTAATGGTAATGCTAATGCTAATGCTGGTACTGCTGATTGTGGTGGTGGAAAGAATAAGAAGGAAGGCAAAAGGACGGAGTTTATGGTCCAACCTGAATATGGATATGGATACACGCCTGGTTACCCTGGATACATGCCAAGTTATCCTGGATATGGGCAACCGGGTTATGGGTACTGTTACGGGCACCCACACCCGCATGGATATGGGCATCATTACCCGGGCTACGTGCCCAACTATCCAGTTTTTGTTCAACCACCTCACCAGATGTTTAATGATGAGAATCCTAATGATTGTTCCATCTTGTGAGGAGAATCCTAGTCCACCTTTGGCTGTTCCTTCATTCGCCACCAACAGGAAATGGGATGGTAAAGTGTAAATAAGAACGGAGAAGAGAATTGGAAATGAAAATGAAAATTTTGGGTTAAACTTGGGGCTCCGAAGCTTGTTTGGGTTTCTTATTTTGTTGTTAAAAAAGTTGAATTTTAGCATTTTTAATGTGATTAGTACTAGTATTTTGATATGTGTTGTATTTTGTTCACCCAATTGTTTTTACTAGATAACCATTTGTGAAGTGGGGTTTGTAGGACATGTCATGTTTTTTTTTTAATAATTTGAACAGCTGTGAAATTCTACTTTTGGTATGGCGATTAAAGGGAGAGAAAAAAATTGCACAGGCTGGAGGCCTGGAGCCACTCCATAATAAAGAAAAATGACTCAAGGCTATTTACCAGTAATTTATTTCTATGTAACCCCAGAGGAAGGAATGGGGGAGGAAAATAAAATGCTTTACAAAAAACGTTGAATGGTTATTTGAATGCATGCTTGATATGACGTTAGGATTACACAATTATGATCTTTTCGACCCTGCTAAGCTTTGCTCACTGCGAATAATGGCACAGCCAAATGTATAATTAAGCATCTTTGCTGAAGGGAACATTTTTGCATAAAATAACACACAGGAGTTTTGGAACATAAAGGGTACGTACCAAATTATGCTACAAAATTGGTTCATGAACCTGCAAATTCACGCCTTTTACTTTATGTGTGTCCTTATTAGGTGGTAGGAGAATCAGTTTCTTCGTTTGTCCTGATGTGGAAGTACGAATAGCCCTTCATTTCTTTATTATTGTCCTCTTTTTTTTTAAAAGACAGGAGTTGGATGAGCAATATGTAACATTTCCTGGAAGGTACGCAGGGCCAGAGGCACAACCCAATCCCTGTGCTCAAGTTTTACACCTAATAAATGTAAAAGGGGACACAACAGTCACCAGGACAGTCTGCAATATGAAGCCACTGTTTCATGTTTATATGTTGCCCTCACCTTGTTTTAAGCATTGGTACAATTGCCACAGTGTTATATGAAAAACAAAACTACAAAATATGGGAAAGACAAGTTCAGGAATAATCATCACCAAGTGCTTTTTTCCTTCTTTTTTTTACTTGGATGAAATGTTTACTTGGCAATCTTGGAACAAAAGGGCATATGTCCTAAAGATAACTGTTAACCAACAATAATGGCATATGCCCCTTAAAATATATTTAAAGATTTTAAAAATAAATAAATGGGCACCGGGCACGTAACATTATCCTAACACTGCTCCTGTATTTTTCCCCCATTCCCAAACCTAAATACTTCTAAAAAAAGGGATAATTATTCTTTAAGTCATTGTCTCCATTTTCAAAAATGGTTTCCTTGTGCCAACAGTAGTCCCTTTCAGTCCCTTTTGACGGAACTCGTCATTCAGTGTCATTGTATGGGTTGGTGGACATGTACATAAATATGGGCATCATGATTGCACCTATCTCCTTTGCATGTGTCTGGATGTAAATAATGTCATGATGTGGTTGATGTGGTTGATGTGCATGTACATAAATATGACATCATGATGTAAGTCCATATGGCAGAAATATTGATCACGAGAAAATGTATTTTGATGTAAAGAAAATACCAAGAAGTCGAGCTATGTTGTTTCTCATAAAGAACAGACGAACTAATGTTATACATACACCTGGATGGAGTAACACCTGAAACATCATGCATTTTAATCACAAGATTAGCAAAGTAAAAGCTAAGGACTGGAAACGATAATGATTTTAAAAGTAAGATTAATTATTTTTCATATAGCGAAAACTTACATGTACGGTTACAAGCGTTACTACATTTCGAAAAATATTTTTTCCATGAAGAAGCGATTAGCTTTCATTTACTAAGAAGCACACGAAGAAATTCAGCACAAAGTACATCAACAACCCAAATTCATCTCGTAATCTTATAAAGAATTGGAAGACCAAACTTGATGAATTTGAGATGAGGAATAGGAAAGGGAATTGTTGGCTTAAAATTTGAAGTATACCCTTTAGAGTTTGGGCTTTCAAATGGACTCTGGACGATCGAAGTTAAAGCGTTTTAGGGATTTCTTCGTTGGAAAATGCCCAAAGCTGAACATGCAAAATATTGTCCACAGCCCAGAGTTTTGTTTAATTAGGCTTAATGAAAAAATAATTGTTTAAATTATACCTAAAGTTAACTTTATGCATTTAAAGAATTTTTTTTGTTAAAAAGATGTGCATAACGTTTTCAACATTATATTTTTAAGTTCATAGACTATAACGATCATTAAATTAAACTCTTATTTTTACGACCGACTGAACACCCAATGATCGTGTAAATACAAGATTCCGCGATTGGTAGAAAGGGATTCTTCACGCTGCGATCATCAATTTTTCGTTGTAATCACCACGTGAAGCATGGGGGCTCGGTTGGTGGACAATCGCACGTCATCAGATTTTCGACCGATTGACAACTTTGGTGGTGGTAGACGATACTAAGGGATTGAAATTCGCGTTTTTTGAGATTTTGGATTTTTTTTATAATTTCAGAAAATATTTTATTTTTTAACAATAAATTCTAATTTCAAGTGTTTTATTTAAAAAAAAATATGCGTTACATGTGTGAAATAGCAGTATGTTTTTAACGAATGCACCTAAAGTTACTTTAAATATAATATAGTTTGAGTACTTATTTTTACCCCTCTCAACCCAATTTGCTTTATTTGCAAATGTCGATATTCAAATTCCTGACCTTATTTAAGAGATCTAGTATCTATGTCCAACCGGTTGTTTGTTATAATATTATTGTATTAAAAAAACATAGAAAATGAAACTTAAAAAACTAAGGGTGCGTTTGTTTGAAGGAAAATATTTTTCTAGTTTTACAGTGTTTAGTTGAAAGAAAAAATTAAAGTCAATGGAAAACAAAATACGGGTCAACGGAAATTGCCCCCATTTTCCTGTAAAATGACTTACCGACTGAAATTCGGTAAGTCGTTTTACAATCTTCACACTGAAACTTTCTTCTTCTGCTCCACTCGATCCTTTCACCGTTTCTCCTCTTGCATGGCCTCTTCTCTGCATAACATCCCAAGCGCCGCCGTCAACGGCACTTCCTTCGCCGACGCTAAATCTCGTCTTCTTAAGAGACCCAGAGTGCTCGCCGACCCAGAGTGCTCGCCGACCCAACCCCTCCGTTGTTCACTCCTTCCGATATCTTCTTCGAATTCTCCCACCACGACACAACCATCGCTCGCATCAACAACGGTAGTTTGGGCAGTTGTCCTTCCTCCGTCATCTCCGCCCAGCACGACCTCCAGCTCCAGTGGCTCCAACAACCCGACGATTTCTACTTCAACCAGTTCCCCATCTTTTTCTTCAATTGGGGTTTTCCCAAATGAAAACAATTTTCTTTTTCTCGCACCAGCTCCAACAATGGCCCTCATATAGTTCCAGGCTCAGTTGTCCGAGGCAATTAAAAAGGAAGGGATTGAAGTCAGAGAAGATTTTAAAGTTGACTCTTGGATTCCCTATTGCCCCGTAGCTCAACAAGTTCTGATATATTATCGATCACCCAAGGATGGGGAGGATGGTGGAGTAAGGGGGTATGCAATAATCTCTTATCAAGTTTATAACAAGGTTGAGAATTATCACAAGTTTAGGGATGTAGTCAATCAACTTGTTCACAATGCTTTCACTTATACTTCTCTTCCCAATTTAAAACATTATTCATTATATTCAAAAATTTATAAAATATAATTTTATAATAATAAAATTAATTTAATAAAATTAATAATAAAATAATAAAATATATTTAATATGTACAGTTTCTTTATTAAAAACAGATTCTGAAAACAGTTTTCAGAAAAATTACCCAAACAATGTAAAACATTTTACAATGTACCATCCAAATACTGAAAAATATTTTCTGAAAAATGATTTACATTTCTGTAAAATATTTTTCAGATTTCATTTTCTGAAAAACATTTTCAGTGAACCAAACGGACCCTAAAGTTATCGGAAAGAATACTGAAAAGGAATGCTTGTGCTACCCGTACTATCAAGGGCTTTATTAATGGTTTTAGAAAGTTAAACTTTTTTCTGTTTAGCGTGTTTTAAGATTTATGAATGAGGTGTTCATCATTACTCCTCATATTCATCATCTCTTTAAAGATGCAACTGTGATTTGATTCAGTATTTTTTGTATTCATTCTTAAAGATTCTTCCATTTGTTCTTTGGTGGCCCATCATGCCCTCGAGTTCTTTGGTGGCTGGACACGGTGTCCAGTAAATATTGATATTTCTCTTGCTGATAACTTTATAACTATAAACATTGTTAATTCGGAAATACTTGCAGGACATATCGAGGAAAAGAAGAAGATGTAGAGGATGAAGTGGCATTAATTAGGTTTAGAGAATAGAGAGGTTTTGGATCGAATTAATTAGGTTTTCACTGATATGAACGGAAACTTTCCCACTACAGTAAAAGTGTTCTATAGCGGCGTTTGGAGAGTAAACGTCACAATATTTTAGAATATAGCGGCGTTTATAATCAAAACGCCGTCAAATGATACTTTAGCAGTGTTTTTCCAACAAACGCCAAAATAGAGTGGTAATTTAGCGGCATTTATGGCACAAACGCCGGTATAGAGTTATTTATAGTGGTAATGGTGCGGCGTTTTTTGATAAACGCCGCAATATGGTTGTTTATAGTGGCGTTTTCAATAAACGTTACAATATGCTTCATCAATATGTGATACTTTAGCGGCGTTTTTTTGTACAAACGTTGCAATATAGTAGACATATAGTGGCATTTTTACAACAAACGCCATAATAGAATGATAAATTAGCGGCGTTTATACCTCAAACGCTGTAATAAATAGTACTTTAGCGTCGTTTTTAGATAAACGCCACAATAGTATTAATCAATAGTGGCATTTTTTTTAAAACGCCGCAAAATGTTACATATATGGTCCTCTCTTTTCTCTTACCTGAACCCTAAAATCATTTCAACCCTTCTTCCCTCAAACCTTCTCTCTGGTACAACAACAGGCTGAGCACAATTCCAAGCAACATCAACTTTGAATGTCTCACCGACCAAATCGGCCCTATGATCGATGAACTATAACACAATTGCACGGTTTGATCCCTCTTATCATTAATGATATTTTTCATTTTTGTTTTTGTGGGTATTCTGAAAATGGGGAAAACCCAGAAAGCTAACGTATTGAAGAAAAAAAGGAGCAGGTGTTGCCTTGAGTAAGAGAAATTATCGTAGGAATGTCTACGTGGCATCTTTGCTCTGACGATGGATTAAATTATCGTTGGGAGGCTATCGGTCCGATCTCTCCGTCGAAACTCGATGATAAACCGATAGGAACTTCTATTGCTCCATACCTTTCCATGGCCGATCTCCTACTTGAAGGTAATAATCTATAAATCTTTAAGCCGCTATATACTATTTTTCTACGGTCACTAAAATTTCATAGATCGTACGCATGTAGGATCTTCGGAGGTTATTGAGAACAATGATAGAGGAGTGGATAAAAACCCGATGTTTAGAACCGAATTTGGTAACTCTGTGGCGTTGAAAGAATCTTCAATTGCAAAAGCAGTATTTATCCTCAATGAAGATGATGTTGGCTCTACTGTTACTCCAAGTAAACATTTATATCATCTATTTAAATTTATTTTAATGTTTGATTTATTTCCCAAGCCACCTCCAATCAAGTTTTATAGTGTAGGTGGAAGTTCGTTATCTGTTTCAAGTGAAGCACTGAAGCGCGCAAAGAGTCTTCTTGGTGAACCAGAGGTAGGGAATTTACTTGGTGAAATGGATGAAGAGTTTCTCCATATAGAGTTTACAGGGAGGAAAAACTTAACGATGCGTCGTCAAACAAGGAAAACAACTTTCCTACGTCCTTTCCCCACGAAGGAGCAGAACTAAATATATTCTAGTGAACAATATGATGAAGACTATTTATGCATAACTTTAATGTTTCTAAATTTTAATGTATTTTGTTGTTAAGTATATTTATGCATAACTTATGGCTTAATTGAAATGTATGGATGTTGTTAAATAGATAAAGCTACATATATCAGTCAATTTAGTTGATGTAGAGCAGAAATGAAATATGTAAAATCAACTAATCTTATCTACATAAAGGTAATTAGCGACGTTTGTATCCAAAAGCGCCCCTATAGATCTGACCTTTTACGACGTTTGTATCGAACACGCCGCTAAAGAGTCATACATTAGTGGCGTTTTTTGAACAAATGCCGCTAAAGGTCAGATCTATAGTGGCGTTTTTTTACAAACGCCACAATAGGTATAATATGTAGTGGTGTTTTTCGCACCAAACAATATTTGGGGATATACCGACGTTTTTATATAAACGTCGCTCCGTAAAATAGTACTACTTTAGTGGTGTTTATATAAAAATGCCGTAAAATAGTAAAATTTTAGCGGCGGTTTTAAAAAAACACAGTAAAATAATTAGGAATTTTGTGAGGTTTTTATGTAAACGCCCTAATACAGTAGCACTTCTGTGGCGTTTTTCATAAAAACGTCGCGATAGAGTTCGCCAGTAGTGGTGTTTTGGCGTAAACACCGCTATAGAGTTGGCATGTAGTGGTGTTTGGTTTACAAACGCTGCAAATATTATATAACCCCCAAAATTTGTCATTTGCCCGAGCCCTAATTTGTTTATCATCTTCGACCCTCCCACAGTTCTGGTTCCCCTTTGAGTCGACGTTTCAGCAAATCGGGCTTCCAGTGGCCACCATTGACGCCGTCTACCCTAAACCCTAATTTTTTTATCACCGTTGCCACTCGCTTGGATTGGATAAGAGAGCTTTTCGCTCAGGTCCCTGATACAAAGTCTCACTGAGCTAGGGAATTTCATTAAATCAATCTCGGTATGTTAGCATTCTCATCGCGTTCCCCCCCGATGTGGGTTTCTCTTCTACACTAGAAAAAACGGTTCTCTCATGTTAATTTTTCTCTCTAGTTTTAGGTGGCACTGATCTCCTGGTCCCTCATCTCTGGCTTCGCCCACAGTTCACGGTGTATACTACCACCGCTGCTTCAACAAAGGTTGAAATGTTACGACATTTTCATTTATTTGATTAACCTAATTTTAAAGCCTACAAATTTTGAAGTTGGTTAATTCCTATAATGGGGATGCCATTGCCATCATTATCACTTCTGATACTGGCCAGGGAATGGGATTATAACCTGAAATGGTCCTAAGAAAAAAAGTGACGATGCATACTAGGATCTGGTTGATTTACGCGTATGTTGCATTTGCCTCTCATTTATTTGATATGCTTAGCTATTGAAACATCTCAAATGTAGGGGATGAAGCGCATATAATTTACTGGAGAATTGAAATATAGTGTATAATATTGGCATGTGAAGCAGTAGATTATTTGATTGAGTAGTTTAAATTAACTACAACTCTTATCCTATTTGATTAAGTAGTTTAGATTAGCTATAACTTCATTCTTTTATTTTCCCTTAGAAAACTTTTTTTCCTTGATGATCGAGCATTAAATGTTAGGAGCAAAGGTTGCTAAGCCATTGTATAAATTGCAAATACAAATCTGTAGGGAGTTCAGCAATAACAATCTTGCTCCTAACATTTATTTTCTTATATTTACACGGTTATCTTTATACTCTCATTTTCACAAATCTGCAGGGACTTGAGCAATAACAATCTTGCTGGCGATATATCATATCTGAAGAGACTTGAGCAATAACAATCTGAAGGGGCAACCTTATCTTTTTGAAATCCCAGAAAAAAGGGACTTGAGCAATAACAATCTGAATGGGCAACCTTATCTTTTTGAAATCCATGAAAAAAAGGGTAAACTCACATGTTATTTTTATTTTTGATTATTGGTTTCATAAAAAATATTATTTTGTTACTGATTTTGGTTATAAATCTGCATTTGCAAACCTCCATTGTTTCGTGTCAATTGCCAAAGCTTTTAGATCCAACCATGGTTTCAATTTGACCATATAAATATCAACTCCATCCTCATCCTCATCATTACTATCCTCACAAGAACTAACACTTTTGATCCTTCCATCAGGCAATAATTCCACAATAAATTCATGATATTCTAAGAATACTCAAAGTTCAGAACTTGATTGAGTTATATATATAGAAAAAACAGTAGTCTTAGGGAACAATCAATAACTACTACAAAGAAATTGATGAAAAACAAAGTCTAATGAAAAACTAAAACGTCAAGAACTAAAATGAAAAATCAAACATGATAGAACAACAAAACCTTAGTGATTTAGTTAAAGCACACACAACAGTGATGTATGGAAGAGGAAGTTGGTCATGCCATTACCGAGGAATTTGCATAAACCCGTTATGGTTCCATCTCTCTGACTTTGACCTGAAGGCCAAAGCAGTTGGGAACTTATGACCAGTTTTGCTCATGGAGTTAAATCATACCAAATGTATAAATGTTAGTGGTGATTTTGTCAAAAAAATAGTTTAGTGACCATATTAGAAAAGTTAAAATAGTTTGGTGACTAATTGTATAGTTTATCCATATTAGAAATGTGTAACATAATGTTTATTTGTCTGCAGCAATCTTGCATTTAATCAATTTACTGGGCAAGTTACTAATTATACCTTTTAATAAAATGTATTTACGTAGTATGTAGTTTTGTGTATAGGTTCTTGGGCAAGTTGAAGTCTTATTATCGTAATAAGCGTTATCCGGAAAAATCAATTGTTGAAGGGTATTTGGCAGAGGAATGTATGACATTTTGCTCTAGATATTTGGAAGATGTTGAAACAAGATGGAATAGACCAAATCGAAATGATGTGTTAAGCACTGATGACTTACCTCAACATTATTTGTTTGGAAGTTATGGTCAACCATTAGGGAAAGTTGAAATTGCACACTTAGATGACACGTCTTGGGTACAAGCACACCGATATGTTCTTTTCCATCACGATTCAATAGATTCCTTTCACACGTAAGTCTTTCGGACCCAATCCTAATGAAATCTCTTTATCTTTTATATTTATCAATTTTTTGTCGAAACGGCTTTTTTCCGGGTGAGATTTTGAAAACACACTAATTTTTAATTATTTTCTTTAGATTAAATTTAAATTAAAAGTGAATGTGATTAAAAAACCTCTCGTTTCGAAAATTTAGAAATTCCTTTATGATAAAAATACGGTTTGAGGATTCGCCACCAATCTTTGATTAAGGTGTGATTGGGCACCCAAAAAGTTTTGTCATTCTAAATAAAAATTAATTTTAATTAAAACAACAAATTTAGGTCTGCGTTACCAGAAAATGAGTTCGGGAGTCTGTTACACGTGGAGAAGGATTAGCACCCGCACAGTGCCCTAAATCGGTACCTAGTCGATTAATTAATTGTCTTTGCAATAAAATGTACAAGTTCAAAATTAATTTGATTTATGATCCCCTAAAATAATATTTTTTGAAATTTTGGATGAAAGAATAATAATATTTAATTATTTCCTATCGAAAAGAAATGATCTATCATACCTTGAAGCAATCGATTCTTACTCCAATCGAAATAAAAAATATTAAAATTTCATTCTAAATTTCAAAATAATAACACCTAAAATAATTTTTAGAGATAAAATAATAATATTTAATTATTTATGATCGAACATTATTATTTTGAAAACCCTTTAAAAACACATGGAAAAGTAAAAAAAAAAAACTATCAAGCAATTGATTAATTATTTATTTACCAATATTTAATGAGAATAAGGGTATTCAATTAATTAAATATCAAGAGACGAGACCATTGATTCGATCTAACTGTCTTTTCTCGATGAATTTAATTAAAAGAATACGATCTTTTCCTCAATCCCCAAATTTTATAAGATGGATTCAATTTAATTGGTATCACTTGATGGAATAGACTTTCATTTTAAAATTATCGAAAGTAAATTTCTTATCCGTTAAGACATTCACTTTACGACAATATTAAAATGCTAGAAAATTACCCTTAGTCAATTTATTTCAATTCAAGTCAAGTAATGCTCATGAGGATGTCATGCGAAATTAATTAATACTAAAATGAACTAAAATGCAAACAACCTAAAAAATAAAATAGAACTTACACCGATATACACCCAAATTACATATTTACATACATAGCATGCATAAAAATAATAACATACAAAATATTTAATATAGTATATTACGCTTAGTAAGCAAGGATTAACAATATATCATATATGTATAAATTGAAAACTCATAAATAATAATATAAGAAAATTTATATATTTTCATATCTATTTATAAATATATATCATCAACTTAGGATAAAAAAAATATTAAATATAGAAAATTTAAAATACACGTACATATATGTGTATATATATATTACAAGATATTTATAATATAATAAGTAACATATTAAAATAAGGTACATATAATATATAACATATAAAATTTATGGTATAAAAATTCTAAACATTTATGGCAGTAATGTAATCAAATTAGGAATCAAGTAATATGAACACAATAAAGAATATTCTCATCAAATGCTTAAATTCAAATAATTAAACATGGTAATGAAAGATAATAAAAAGGAAAAGCCTTGGTTAAATAGTGGCAAAACATTATCTATGACGATAATTAGGGAATAAATTAAAATGTTCTTGAATATTATCAAATAAAATAATCTACCAAAAATGCAAATAAACCAAAAAAAGAAAGCAAATAAAAAAACATGCATTTAAACAAAATTAAAACCAGCCGAAAATAAAAGAGCAAGTAAAAATATATTAAAGGAAATAACACGAAATTGAGATAAAATAAAAATACGGGGACTAAAATGAAAGCATTCAGAATCACATACCGAAATTGAAATAAACAAAAGTAAATAGCTTACGATGACTATAACGAGCACGCGAAAAAATATAGGACAAAAGTTAAAAACATAACAATTTTAATCAAAGACTAATATGCAAAAAATCCAGAAACAAAGACCTTATTGAGCTATTTACCTATGCACCTTAAGGATGAAACCCTAACTTAAAAAAAACTACATAGTTTTGGGAATCCCATGTATATATATATATATATACTATTATAACACTAAACCTAATTCCCCATTATTTTCTAATATGCGGCAGCCTCTCTTTCTCTTCCCCATTTCAATTTTATTTCTTTGCTTTCTTTCTTTGTTTCCATGTGAAATTCAACCGGTGGCCATGAACCACCATGGCCACCACCCTACACCACCCCGACGAGAAGTCAAACGACGAAGCACTAATGAAATCCGACCCCCTTAGGTAAACCAATCTTCACTGTCTATTATTTTATTTATCTTTATTTCACAATTAAAGACACAAAATTACTGAATAGAAAAAAATGAAATAAAAAAAAATACCTTAATAGATTTATATTGATTCAACAATGATAGGGGAAACCCCTGTTACACTGTTTGCTCTTTGAATATCGAGAAAGTAATGTTGTTTACACTATTTTTTTCTTCTTCTTCTTTTTTTCTGCCCCTCTCCCTCCTCAAATGATTTCTTCTCTTTTTATTTTTCTTCTTTTCACCGAATCCGTTGTCCTCTTGTTGCATTTTGATTTTTTTCTTTGTTGTTTGTTGAGATTAAGATGGGATTAGGTGAGTTATCCCATATTTCATTGTTGCCAACAAGGAGATAAGGTAATGACCCCCTTTCCTTTGTCTTCTTCTTTGTTTTATGCTTTTTTTTGCTGAATAATGAAATCTGGTGCGTAGGGTAGGGCTCACTGGTTGGAGTAGGTAAAATATATTTTGAATTTGGCAATGATTTGGTGGGATTTATTAGGTGTTGATGTAGGTGACGAGTTGGAGGGATGTTCAATGGCTTTGATGATCGGCAATGTGCTCAGTGGCGTGCTTGGCAGTGGCTTCGGGTATGGATCTAGCACCGGGTCAGGTTACTGTACCAGTTCGGGTCTTCTTGGAATCTCGGGGCTAGAACTTGGGTTGAAATCTTGTAGTGGACTATTGTGTTTTATTTTGTAATTTGGGCTACACATTAAGCCTGCCAAATATGTAAAATAATATTATTATTAATAATAATGAATATAATAATAAAAAGAAGATCATGATGAAAAATTGAGTGTCGACAATTGCCTCTCTTTGTCCATTCTTGTGTTAACAAGAATAGGGCAAATATGAAGAGACAATGCATTTTTCATACATTTAACTTCAATATTTGAGATATGATGAGGGTTCTGTTCCGCTGCCACTCAGGTAATCTCAGATCTGGGATGTTGATTCACTTCACCGTTCTTCAGGGAAGATTGAATCAGGGTAGACTTGTTCCGCTGTCACTCAGGGAATATCAAATCTTGAAGAAGAGAGATTTGTTCTGTTCCACTTCTTCTGAGGGAATATATCAGATCTAGGAAAGTTGATCCATTGAATCATGGTAGACTTGTTCCACTGTCGCTCAGGGAATATCAAATCTTGAAAGAGAGGGATCTGTTCCGCTTCCTCTGAGGGAATATCATATCTGGGAAAGTTGATTTATTGAATCAAGGTAGACTTGTTCCGCTGTCATTCAGGGAATATCAAATCTTGAAAGATGGATATGTTCCACTTCTTCTGAGGGAATATCAGATCTGGGAAAGTTGATTCATTGAATCAAGGTAGACTTGTTCCACTTACTCTGAATGGAATATCAAATCTTGGAGAAATTGATCCATTGAATCGAAGCAGACTTGTTCCACTTACTCTGAAGGGAATATCAAATCTTGGAGAAGTTGGTCCATTGAATCGAAGCAGACTTGTTCCACTTACTCTGAAGGGAATATCAAATCTTGCAGAAGTTGATCTATTGAATCGAAGTAGACTTGTTCCACTTACTCTGAAGGGAATATCAAATCTTGGAGAAGTTGATCTATTGAATCGAAGCAGACTTGTTCCACTTACTCTGAAGGGAATATCAAATCTTGGAGAAGTTGATCCATTGAATCGAAGTAGACTTGTTCCATTTACTCTGAAGGGAATATCAAATCTTGGAGAAGTTGATCCATTGAATCGAAACAGACTTGTTCCACTTACTCTGAAGGGAATATCAAATCTTGCAGAAGTTGATCCATTGAATCGAAGTAGACTTGTTCCACTTACTCTGAAGGGAATATCAAATCTTGGAGAAGTTGATCCATTGAATCGAAGCAGACTTTTTCCACTTACTCTGAAGGGAATATCAAATCTTGGAGAAGTTGATCCATTGAATCGAAGCAGACTTGTTCCACTTACTCTGAAGGGAATATCAAATCTTGGAGAAGTTGATCCATTGAATCGAAGTAGACTTGTTCCACTTACTCTGAAGGGAATATCAAATCTTGGAGAAGTTGATCCATTGAATCGAAGCAGACTTGTTCCACTTACTCTGAAGGTAATATCAAATCTTGGAGAAGTTGATCCATTGAATCGAAGCAGACTTGTTCCACTTACTCTGAAGGGAATATCAAATCTTGGAGAAGTTGATCCATTGAATCGAATCAGACTTGTTCCACTTACTCTGAAGGGAATATCAAATCTTGGAGAAGTTGATCCATTGAATTGGGATCGAACCTGAAAATTAAACAGTAACATTTGTTAGTATGTGTTTGAGGATTCAAAAACATCATACCTGAAAGTCTTGGGATGATAATTTTTTTTTGAAAAGATTTTTCTTGTGGAAGCTTGTCTTGCCACGACAAAACATGAAAATTTGAATTGGTTATTTCTATATTGGGTCTTTATATCTTTGTCCTTTTTAAGAGAACCTGCAAACACACATCATTATGCATTTTATGTCATGGTCCTGTTTATGCCTAAAATGTGTGCAATGATGCATTTATTTTTAAGGTATTTTCTTTTCAAACGAAAATTTTATTTTGCTAACGGCCTTGTCCTTCAGTTTGATTTGGGCAGGAAAAATCAATCAACATTCCATCTCAATCAATAACCCTGATTAGACACTCTTTGGTTGAGCTTGACTCTGATTCTCTTTACTCTTTGAACCCATGTGCTTCTCATGACCCGCTATTTAATCAGTGACAAAACCTCTTGGGTTATCCCACATTGTTGAGTATTCAAGTATATCCCAAGGCTTTAACTTCTTGTGGTATGACATTGCATAAGCCTTATGTTAAAACCATTTTCGGCTTCAGAATATCTGTATTTTCCAAAACTTTTTGTACAATAATGCACAATGACCTCATGTTTCCCGAGTTAATCTACATGTTTTTATTTTCAATAAGTATGGTTGCAACGTGGTTAAAAACATCTTTTTATTTATAAATAAAGAGTTTTTGGATGAATACATGGAAAACTTTAACTGGAATAATAAAAAACACAGTAGGCGTCCTCAGACATCAATAATACGAATGCTTTTGAAATGACACGCCGTAAAAAGACCTGAGTGTAGCTTCTGTCAAGGGGATCTTGATGATTGTGGTAATGCGTAAGGATGTGAAGTTCCCCCTGTACTGCCAAATTCCCTACTGTTGGATATCATAAGCCAGCGTTTGAGTCTCGTTTACTTTCTTGTTATCCAAGCTTTTCAATTTCCAACCCTAACCCATGACTATCGTATCAAGCTTTCAAAACTAATTCAAAACCTCCACCATGCACGAATTCTGAATTTACACCATTCTCAAGCCAACCTTTACGGGTTTTCAACATGAGACCTTTTCTGGTTTCAAGACGCCCTTTACAGGTTTTTATCTTGAATCCCTCTTTTATTTTTCTTTTCTTTTTTCCTCATTTTTTCTTTCTTTTTTTTCATTTTTTCCCATTCATTTTTCCATTCATTTTTTCAGGCGAAATACTTCTTGACTGCATCAGCATTCACAGGGTTAGATAACTCTAGTCCATCCATCTCAGTGAGGATTAAAGCTCCTCCAGAAAAGGCCTTCTTTACCACATAAGGTCCTTCCCAATTTTGCATCCATTTTCCTCGAAAGTCTTTCTGAATTGACAAAATCTTTCTTAGCACCAAGTCTCCTTCTTGAAACTCTCGTGGATAAACCTTTTTATTATGTGCCCTTATCATACGTTTCTGGTACATTTGCCCATGATAGATAGCTTTTAATCTTTTTTCCTCAATCAGGTTCAATTGATCATACATAGCTTGCACCCACTCTGCTTCATTTAACTTAACCTCTGACAGCACTCATAGTGACGGAATCTCAACCTCGATGGGTAACACAGCCTCCATACCATAAACTAAAGAAAATGGAGTTGCCCCAGTAGACGTCCTCACTGAAGTTCGATAGGCAAATAGAGCGAATGGTAACTTCTCATGCCAATCTCTATAAGTCTCAGTCATTTTCTGTATGAGCCTCTTGATGTTCTTATTGGTTGCCTCTACCGCTCCATTCATCTTTGGGCGATAAGTGGTGGAATTATGATGTTTAATTTGGAATTGTTTACATACTGACTCCATCATCTTATTATTTAAATTCAAGGCATTGTCAGTGACAATCCTTTCTGGTAGCCCATACCGACAAATAATTTCTCTCTTCAAGAACTTGCAAACTGTTGACTGAGTGACATTTGCATAGGATGTCGCTTCTACCCACTTAGTGAAATAGTCTATTACCACAAATATGAAACGATGGCCATTAGAAGCTTTGGGTGAAATTTGCCCAATGACATCCATGCCCCACATAGAGAATGGCCACGGAGCATTCATTACATGTAATGGATGAGGAGGGGTGTGGAGCTTATCTCCATAAATCTGGCATTTGTGACATTTTCTGGAGAAATTGATACAATCAGTTTCCAGAGTTGACCAATAATATCCAAATCTCATTATTTGTTTAGCCATTACATGTCCATTAGCATGGGTACCACATACTCCTTCATGCACCTCTTCAATGATTGTTCTGGCTTCTTTGGCATCCACACACCGTAACAAGACTTTATCATGACTTTTCTTGTACAAGACTTCACCATCAAGCACATATCCTGTCGCCATTCTTCGAATAGTTCTTTTGTCATTCTCAATGGCATGCTTAGGGTATCTTTGATTTTTAATATATTGTAGGATATCGTAATACCAGGGATTTCCATCCTCTTCCTCTTCTATGCTATAGCAATGGGCTAGATACCCGTAAGCTTCCATCGTAATAGGCATCATGCTTGAATATTCATTGACTTTGAAAGCTGCTGCCAAAGTGGCCAGAGCATCCGCCATTTGATTCTCTTCTCTGGGGAGATAATGAAATGTCACCCTCACGAATTCTTTAATGAGCTCTAAGACCAACTTTCGGTATTCCACCAACTTCGTATCTTTTGTTTCCCATTCACCTCTGAGTTGATAAATTACCAGGGCTGAATCTCCGTATACTTCGAGTATTTTCACTTTACGCTCAATGACAGCTTTCAGACCCAGAATACATGCTTCATATTCGGCCATGTTATTTGTGCAATCAAAATTCAATCGGCTGGTGAAAGGATAGTGTTTTCCATAAGGTGAGACGAGAATTGCCCCAATCCCGTGCCCTAAAGCATTAGAGGCACCATCGAAATTCATCTTCCACTGTTCATTAGTAAAGGAAACTACATTCTCTGTTGAAATAACCATTAAATCTTCGTCTGGAAAATCGAATTTCAGTGGTTCATACTCTTCAGAAACCCTACTTGCAATGAAATCAGCCACAACACTTCCTTTAACTGCTTTTTGGCTTACATATTGGATATCAAATTCTGACAATAAGATTTTCCAACGAGCCAATCTTCCAGATAAAGCAGGTACATCCATTAGATATTTCAGAGGATCAAGTTTAGATATGAGCCAAGTAGAGTGATACAACATATATTGTCTGAGCCTTCGGGTAGTCCGAACTAAAGCACGACACAACTTTTCTATTGGTGAGTATCTTATCTCGCAATCAGTAAACTTTTTGCTGAGGTAGTAAATTGCTCTTTCTCTTTTCTCAGTTTGATCATGCTGCCCTAATACGCACCCCATTGAATTCTCAAAGATTGATAAGTAGAGGATTAATGGTTTGCCGGATATTGGTGGAATTAATGCTGGAGCATTCGACAAATATCCTTTTATTGCTTCAAAAGCTCCCTGGCAATCATCATTCCATACCCCTGGGTTGTTTTTACGGAGAAGGCAAAAAATGGGATCGCACTTCTCAGTTAATTGCGAAATAAATCGGGCGATGTAGTTTAATCTTCCCAGAAATCCTCGAACTTCTTTTTGTGTTTTTGGGGGTGGTAAATTCTGAATAGCTTTGACCTTGTCAGGATCTACTTCAATCCCTTTTTGCTTACTACAAACCCCAAGAGTTTTCCCGATATTACCCCGAAGGTACACTTGCTTTGATTGAGTTTTAACTGGCAGCTCCTTAATCTTTGGAAGAGTTTCCTCAGATTCTCGATGTGTTCTTCCTCCGTTTTAGCTTTAACAATTATATCATTGACATAGACCTCGATTTCCTTGTGCATCATATCGTGGAATAGTGTTACCATGGCCCTTTGATAGGTTACCCCTGCATTCTTTAGTCCGAACGGCATCACCTTGTAACAGAACGTACCCCACATGGTGACAAACGTAGTTTTTTCCATATCATCTGGATGCATCTTTATTTGATTGTAACCTGAAAACCCATCCATAAATAAAAATAGAAAGTTTCCAGCTATATTGTCCACCAGGGTGTCTATGTGTGGCAGAGGGAAATTATCTTTCGGACTGGCCCGATTAAGATATCCGTAGTCGACGCACATGCGAACTTTCCCATCTTTCTTTGGTACTGGAACGACATTTGCTACCCATTCCGGATACTTGGCTACTTTCAGGAACCCATCATCAAATTGTTTCTTTACTTCTTCTTTAATTTTAAGTATCATTTTGGGTCGCATTCTTCTGAGCTTTTGTTGTACCGGTTTACATTCAGGCTTTATTGGCAATTTATGTACCACTAATTCAGTATCTAACCCTGGCATGTCCTCATACGACCAAGCGAACACATCTCTGTACTCTCGAAGCAGCTGAATCAGACTTTGTCGTCCCTCAGCAGATATGATGGTGCCAATCTTTATCTCCTTTTTATCCTCCTCTGATCCTAGATTCAAGATCTCAATGGGTTCTTCATGAGGCATAATTTGTTTATCTTCTCTTTCTACCATTTTTAGTTGTTCAGAAGATAAGTGGCTTCCCTCATCACTATCATAACCTTCAATTTCCACTTGACATATGGGCAACTCGAAATCTATCTCCAGGTCAGACTCATCAGCATTCATACTATTGATATCGGAGGTCCTGAAAGAATAACGAACGAGAGGATATATACATATACAAATACAGAAGAATCTATCCCATATCAAAATAGAATGAAATAATAATATATAAAAAAGAAAGAAATAAATAAATAAATAAAAGAATGGAAAGGATGATATTTGCCATTTCGTGAATTAACAGGAATGCATCATTTATTAAAATAAAAAGCATATAGATTAACCCCTTACAAGAGATCACCTATTGCCTCAGGGTTTAGACAATAGGGAAAGTTTTTGTGCATTACTCTGAAATAGTTTTGTAAACTACAGGTAATTCTTCTGCTGTCCAATTGTTTAGAACAAAGCCTGGTGGTGCGGGGTAGATGCCCATAGCCCTTCCGTCTTCGATTCCTTCCTCTAATATCACATTTATGCCCAAATCCTTCAGGGTATTTTCAATAACAGACTCTTTTGATGATCGACTCCCCTGAAACATATGGCCCCCAGATATGAAGGTGTCACGCAACAATGGGAAATTCATGGGTTCCCACTTAATATCTTCCCCGACTAACCTGGCTTTCCTCCTTTCCTGGCTCTTTTGAACATTTTTCAACTTTTCCTTTAAGGTTGGGCGATATCCCAAACCAAAACGGTCTCGCTTAATACCAGGAAAAACTGGACTAATATTTCCTTGTAGGCGGCTTCCCAGCCATCTTCCAACCTTGGCTCCTCTTCCCATAGTCATTTTCAGTTCCATTTTGGTACAATTGGATAGCCTAGGCTTCGAAATTTTCTTTCTTTCGGCAACAAAGGTGGCATTAATGAATTCCAAGGCTCTGAAAGAGCACTCGACCGCATCTTCATCTATTTTGACATATGGAGCGGTAGTAGATATGGAAGCAATGATATCTTCCTCAGCATTAAGGCATACCAGTCTCCCCTCAATTACAAATTTGAGTTTCTGATGCAAAGTGGATGGCACAACTCCTGCCTGATGGATCCAAGGCCTTCCTAACAAGCAGTTATAGGAAGGCATTATATCCATTACAAGGAATTCGACCTCATAGGTTGATGGGCCAATGGTTAAAGGAATATCGATCTTCCCCAGCACCTCTTTCTTTGTTCCTTCAAAAGCTCGAACGATGCTTTGGCAATTTCTCATGTATGTACTATCAACCGGTAGTTTTTTCAATGTCACTAATGGCATCACATTCAGGGCAGAGCCATTGTCGATTAGTACTCGCGATAACACATGTCCCTTGCACCTGATGGTAATGTGCAGGGCTTTAGGATTGCCCATCATTCCGGACGGGATTTCATCATCAGAGAAAGAGATGAAATTGTCTGCTTGAATATTTGCAACCAACCGGTCTATCTTTTCTACTGGCACATCTTTTGGCACAAAGGTCTGATTCAAGACTTTCATCAAGGCATTTCGATGTGCCTCAGAGCTTAATAGTAGAGCCAGGATTGAGATGCGAGCTGGCAACTTGTGTAGTTGCTCGACGATTCTGTACTCGCTATGCTTCAAAAATTTTAAAAACTCCACAGCTTCGTTCTCAGTTACAGGCTCATTAATTGTTGGCTCATCATCTTTCAGCTGTATCTCGACCTTTTTTCCTTTATCCGGGGTTGCTATTTTTTCGGGTTCATTGGTCGAATTAGGAGAATAACACCTCCCACTTCTGGTGAAGTGGCCTACCTCATCCATCTCTTCCTTGGCACCCTTTGAAACACCAACATCACCTAGATGGCACTCGTACCTCCAGGGGACCTGTTTGCTATCTTTATAGGGAAAGGACGACGGGGGTATGATCATCACTTTTGGGGTTATATTCTCTACTGTACGGGCTTTCGGCATAATAACCAGAGGGCAGTTGGAATTGTAGACTCCTTTGGATGTACCCTCGGAAGCACAAATCTCTACCTCTTCCTCCTCCATAGCTTCATGGTAAAATTCCATGTCTTTACTATCCATCAGCCTTTGAACCAAAGCCTTAAACTCATCATAGTTTTGAATGACATGATCCTCACAACGGTGGTAGGGACAAGCATGCTTATTCCCGTTAACATTAAAGGTCAACCAACCTATTTTGACCATTTTCCCCCATACCCAATGCATGGGTGATTTCACTTCATTGACTTTGGTTATGACTTTGTTCACTCTTTCTTCAATAACAACATTAACCCCTGTCCCTGCATGGTTCGGCAATGGGTTCTGAGCCACATTCGGCTGCTCACTATCACCGAAATTGATGATATTTCTTTGTCTTAATCTCTGTACCAACTTTTTAAAGGCCATACAATTTTCAATTGAATGCCCCGATGCACCCGCATGATACTCACATTGAGCATTGATGTCAAACCATTTTGTGTAAGGAGGTTGTATTGGAGAAGTGTGGTAAGGTGACACCACATGTTTGTCATACAGGATCTGGAATAATTCTTTATAGCTCATGGGGATAGGGTCAAATTGAACCATTTCTCTTTTCTGTCTTGGTTCTTTCACTCCATGCTGGACAGGATTTAATGCTGACGACGCAGTGGCCGGTGGTCGAGATACTGTAATGTTATTATAATCATATTTCTTCACATTACTGACCTCATTATCTTTTCTTCTCACTAGAGGCTTTCGGCTAGATTCTCCCCCGTCTAGCTTCCCGCTTTTGATCGCCATCTCGATCATTTCTCCTGTATTAACTATGTCAGCAAAATTCTTGGACGAATTTCCAATGAGATGTCCAAAGAACGGGGCCCTCAGAGTATTTAAAAAAAAAACATATTGGTTTCTTCGTCTTCTAATGGTGGATGAACTTGTACAGCCATATCTCTCCACCTTTGGGCATATTGCCTGAAACTCTCATTGGATCTTTTTTCCATACTCTACAACAAAATTCTATTCGGCCTCACATCTTTTACATGGTTATATTGCTCTAGAAAAGCCTTAGCCAAATCCTTCCAAGATTTAATTTGAGCCCGACTTAGCTTATTATACCAACGGATTGCTGATCCTGCCAAACTTTCTTGAAAACAATGAATTAATAGCTGATCGTTTCCCACATAGCCTGTCATTTTTCTGCAAAACATGGTAATGTGTGCAGAAGGACAACTGGTGCCATCAAATTTCTCGAAGTCTGGAACTTTGAACTTCGGTGGAAACACTAAATCGGGGACCAGACTTAGTTCTCTGGCATCAATTCCATATAGGTTAGCATCTTCTTTCATAGCTCGGAATTCATGTTTCATTTGTTCCCATTCTTTCTTAATCTCCTTATCCTGTTCTTTTTTGTCTTCCTCATCCAAATCAGGGACATCTTCAATTGGTTGTGGGTTTATCGAAGAGCCAGGTAAGTTCACTTGTATTTTTTTCGGTTGGATTATCGTGGCTTGTTGTGTATGGATATATGGTGGTGTGAAGCCAGGGGGATATAAAGGTTCCTCAGCAGCAGGACAGATAACTAGAGCCTCTCCTTGGACTGCACTATTTCCCTGTAACAAACTAACCAACTTTGCCATCATGTCGTCTTGAGCCTTCATTATCTGTTCACGCATTTCCTCTTGCGCTTTCTTTAAATTCTCTTGCATTTCAGCTTGAACCTTCTCTATATTGACAATTCTATCATCCATTGTCTTTTTTCGCGTGTTGTATAGATGCTTATAAGTGTCCAGTATTATGCCATAATATTTTTTATTAATCATGGTGTTTTATTAATGAGGTGTGAAAAATGTGATTAGAATGTTATTCATAAAAGGAAATGCAATGTAGATGCAATATGAATGCAAGATGAATGTAATACAATGTGTTGATTCTGGGACGATTCCTTAGAACAACTTTTTATATATGAAACGAAGCTCAACTACAAGGATTAAACAGATCACAGATACAATAGAGCTATCTCTCCTAATTGTTGGATATGTCCCAGTAATTCCACTATCTTCTGGTTTTCTTCTGCCTCTGGATCCAGTTCTTCAATCACATTATCAGCTTCCTGTGACAGATCAACCAAGTGTTGAGCCACTCCTTGAGCTTGCTGTAGGTATCTTGCAATGAGATCCTCCCTTTGCTTAACTCTCCACTGAGCCTCCTCCCAACGATAGCGCCATTGCATAACTCCTTCATAAGGGACCAATGGAAATTCATTTGCTCTTCTTTGCAAATCTTGAACTAAGGCCTCAAGTTCATTCGCACGCTTCGTCAATCTTTCCACTTCAGCATGTGAACTACTTTCTCGACTTCGATATCGTTGCAAAACAGTCTCTAAGTTCAAGACCTATTCTTTAATTTCTCATTCTGGGTCTGATTCTCTTGCAATTGTTGTTCAAGGGCATTTTTGTCTCTCGAGAGTAATTTGGCCTGATGTCTACTCCGTTTGAGTTCTTCACTGCTTTCCCCAACTTCTCTTTTCAGTCCTGCCACTTCTTGCCTCCATTCAGTAGAAGACTTACTAGAGCTAGCAGATGTCTGATCTTTGATCATTCGCTGGTGTGATAAATGGAGGTCATCGAAATCCAATCTAAGTTGCTTCTCCACTTTTTCAATCCGATCAGCCCGACTCTTTTGGATGTCAATCTCCAGCCCTTTCTGATACACTTCATCTTCTAGCTTTTGCAAAGTTACTCTCCATTGTTTCCTTTCTGCCTCAAAATCAAGCCTGGCTTGCTCGAGCGGAGACGGGATCACCATGAGGTGTTCTTCCATAGATTGGATATTCTCTTGATTACATATTGGAATATTATCATTGACTCGGTTGCTTCTCTACTCCTCGTATCCTCGAGATAGCCTTGACTCAAAAGTAAAGAGATTTACCCGATGGGTGTGTCTCCAAGCATCAGTGATCCCTTTAACTTTATTCTTATACAGTTCTTCCCAGAATGCGAACTCAGACTTAGATAACTCCCTTGTTGCCGGAATAAACTGTCTCGACCCAAATTGTTGGGAAACCAATAATGGGGCATACCCTACAGATCCCCAAATACCAGATAATGAAACCCAATCTCTATCTCCACATCGATACAATATGTTAGATGAGATATTCCATGAGGTACGCCATAATATGTCACTGTCTCGGATACTTTTGAAAATGATCATCCACTTTTCCTCAGTAAAACCCCTAGGCCATTGTCGAGAAATGAAATCCTTCAACGGTGAAAAACCATCTAAGAAGACCCGACCAGGTGCTCTCTCGACGTGTTTGAAATGACTAAGGATCCAGGTTAGCAACAATAGTGCACAACCTATGAATCGTCCTTCCCCTTCTCTTCGGCAAGAGCTCAGGGAACGAAATGTTTATGCCAGAATAGCTGGAACAGGATCCACATGTCTATCCAGTCTTTCAAACATGTCAACCACTGATACATCAATATGTCCGAGAACTCTCGGAAAAATGACCAATCCATAGATACCTAGAGCAAAGAAATCAATCTTTTTTCTTTGATCAGGATGACAGTCGATCAAATCTCTCAGAAGGGTCCAAGTAACGCATTCGCGGTCCCCTTTCTTTTTTATGCCTCTCATAACCCATTCTTCACTCATGCCAGTCATCAGAATAAGTTTCTTCTTAAAGGAAGGAGTATTTGGGGGTTTGGTGTATACTTTGTCTACTTGGAACCTCGGACAACGAATCAAGGCACGATACTCCTCTATAGTAGGCGTCATGTCAACTCGACCAAATGTAAAACAGTTATAAGCGGGATTCCAAAACTGAGCTAGAGATCTAAACAAATTCCGATCAATCGGGATATCAAGGAGATATGAAATGTCACCATGGAGTTGATAGAACAATTACTTATCGGACGTTTCCCATCTTCCCCAAATCTCTTTCAGTTCGTTCAGATCATTCTGACAAACGTTGATGTGAGTATACCCTCTCAGCTCTGATATATACCCTGGTGATAAACTGTCTCCATTTGTTAGTTGAGACTGCTCGGACCATATCAAGACGTCTGCATTGTCCTCTATTTTTTGAATCATTCGTTCCATAATACTAGTCTTCTATATGGACATCAGTCATGGATCAACACCAATGAAATGAATATTGCAATGCAAGATGAGGATAAAGTAAACAAAAAGAAAGAAAATCGGTCACTAATCATAAATGAATTGACTAAACATAAATCAATTTATCGATAAAACCTACCCTACATGTTAGCTACCCAATCATGCTTTAGTAGATCCTACCCAGTCATGATTTCTACCCATACGCTTTTGTTATTCACAAAAATCCTAACCGCATGATATCTAATTCACATGTTTGTTCAGGAGAATAATCCTAACCGCATGATTTCTAGTTCGCATACATTTATTCAAAAAGTAAAAATAAATGACTCAAAAACTTTTCCTTGTGTACCCTCTTCACGGGACTCCTAAGTTTCAGGTCAGGCTCGACCTAAATTTGGGCTCTATGTTCACTATATGCTGGGTTCAGTTCTAAAGTAAGGGGTCCTAGAATTGTCCTTTGTCGGTGCCCCCTTGGGCTACCGAACCCTCAATCCTGGCCCATCACAGGCTTTCGGATTGAGTTCAATTTGAGGGGACACACTTCCTTATGTCATTGCGGAGGTGAAAACCTCACGAGGATCATAAGGCGTGAGCCCAAGGAGCATTTCACTATCCAGCACGGAGGTGAAAACCACACGAGGGAGTAGTTACTTTCTCCTACTTAAATAGGACGGAGCGGGGTTTTATCTCATGTTATGCGAATGCAGTTGTGCAGTGTGTGAGGAAAAGCGAAACAAAGCAAACAACACTAAACATAAAACTCAAGACCCTAAACAATTATTTAATCTGACAACATTAGCAAACAGATCAGTACAACTATTTAGTGGTTAAGCAAATTAAGAGTCAAAAAGCATTCAAAACTTATTTAAAACAAAACAAGGGATCAAAAACCAAATTAGAACGAACTTGTATTTTTTATTTGCAAAGACAATTAATTAATCAATTATCGGCCTGACTCTCTAAAAAAAAGGTCCCCAGCGGAGTCGCCAAGCTGTCGAAACGGTTTTTTTTCAGGTGAGATTTTGGAAACCACACCAATTTTTAATTATTTTCTTTAGATTAAATTTAAATTAAAAGTGAATGTGATTAAAAAACCTCTCGTTTCGAAAATTTAGAAATTCTTTTATGATAAAAATACGGTTCGGGGAGTCACCACCAATCTTTGATTAAGGTGTGATTGGGCACCCAAAAACGTTGTCATTTTAAATAAAAATTAATTTTAATTAAAACAACAAATTTAGGTTTGCGTTACTAGAAAATGAGTTCGGGAGTCTGTTACACGTAGGGAAGGATTAGCACCCCCACAGTGCCCTAAATAGGTACCTAGTCGATTAATTAATTGTCTTTGCAATAAAATGTACAAGTTCAAAATTAATTTGATTTATGATCCCCTAAAATAATATTTTTCGAAATTTTGGATGAAAGAATAATAATATTTAATTATTTCCTATCGAAAAGAAATGATCTATCATACCTTGAAGCAATCGATTCTTACTCCAATCGAAATAAAAAATATTAAAATTTCATTCTAAATTTCAAAATAATAACACCCAAAATAATTTTTAGAGATAAAATAATAATATTTAATTATTTATGATCGAACATTATTATTTTGAAAACCCTTTAAAAACACATGGAAAAGTAAAAAAAAAACTATCAAGCAATTGATTAATTATTTATTTACCAATATTTAATGAGAATAAGGGTATTCAATTAATTAAATATCAAGAGACGATACCATAGATTCGATCTAACTGTCTTTTCTCGATGAATTTAATTAAAAGAATACGATCTTTTCCTCAATCCCCAAATTTTATAAGATGGATTCAATTTAATTGGTATCACTTGATGGGATAGACTTTCATTTTAAAATTATCGAAAGTAACTTTCTTATCCGTTAAGACATTCACTTTACGACAATATTAAAATGCTAGAAAATTACCCTTAGTCAATTTATTTCAATTCAAGTCAAGTAATGCTCATGAGGATGTCATGCGAAATTAATTAATACTAAAATGAACTAAAATGCAAACAACCTAAAAATATAAAATAGAACTTACACCGATATACACCCAAATTACATATTTACATACATAGCATGCATAAAAATAATAACATACAAAATATTTAAGAGAAAATAACCTCAGTGACCAAAAATCCCATATAATATACGATTTTAACCAACTTTTTCCGGATTTGCCAAAATGACCAACAAAATCGCAATGCGATCGCTAATTCGCAACGCGATCTCCATTATCGCAAATACGCGTTGCATTTTCGCAATGCGATAGTTGAAAATCGCGTTGCGATGGTCTACAGTATCGTTGCGATTTTCCCAATTCGCAATGCGAATAAGTAAATCGCAACGCGAATTGGGAAATTCGCAATGCGAATAAGTAAATCGCAACGCGAATTGGGAAAATCGCAATGCGATACTGACTATCGCAATGCGATAATAAAAAATCGCAACGAGATACTTACTTTCGCAACGCGATACTGACTTTCGCAACGCGATTTACTTAGCGCCATTCGTATTAACGCGTATTTTTTTTTCAAATTCCAAACACGTATTTTTTCTTAATAAATCGGAAAATGAACCGTCCACAGTAATCGCACGCAACTCATAACC